GATGATGTTTAAGCAATGCATAATACATTTTAATTTGGTCAGTTTAGTCATTTGTTCCAATATATCCTTGACATCTACTTTTCTGAGGTTAGTCATACAAAAAAAAAAAAAAATAAATAAATTAATAAAGAAATAGTGTAGTTGACACTAAAATATAACAGCCACAGAACATTATATCCTTGATCTTACTTGAGCCTAATGAAATAAAGATGTACATTCGAGCCTTGATTTATTTCCTGCTTACGATCTTTCTTTCTTTATTTTAAAGTCTTGATTGATATTCAATACTGAAAAAAGAGGACTAGACCTGGTTAGACCTGTTAATATATTTTGAAAAATAACAATAATAGCAATTAAAAACACCAGCATCTTGTACAAGCACCTTTTACATTACTTTAAATGTTTACCATTTCAAACATCTAATACTTTTTTATAAATGAAATGAAACTTATTCGCGTAATTTACTAAAATTTCATGTTTTGCTGCTGATTTCCCATGCTGATATAAAGACATATAGAAACGAAAAGCGTAGGGAATGATAGATTTACGGATTTACGAATACATAAACTCCTATATTTTACCAAGCATCTAAATTTTATTGATAAAAAAAAGAGTTATACGTAAGCATGACTTTGTTTACTTTAGGAACTTTTTTTACAAACTCTTTTGTTATAAAAAGAAGATTTGAAAAAAATTATTTTAAGTTTACATATAATGAACATAACATTATCTTTCCGACTTAATACTTACTGTTTTTAATTATTAGATTTATTGAGCAAGGAATAAAAAAGAAAGAAAACCGCGGAGAAATATAAGATTATAACCTAGGCTGATTGTTATATTTTTACACTCATAGCAAATGTTATGCTGTGAAATGCTTTTACTTACCTTACTTAAGTCTTGTGATATATCTTGTGACTAATCGGGATAATTGATTCCACTACAAAAACTTAATTGTTTTCACGATTCATTATTGCTTAAGGCGGTGCTAGGGGGGCATAGGAGATGAATCATCTCAAAATCTCGCTTAATAGAGTCTGCAAATTTTACCTTTATACGTTGTGTTTATTGCTATCGCGAAATCTCCGCTTTCAAAATTGTCAGCAGTTGATAAGCAGTCCAAATATCATAAATTTACATTTCTGAAATTTAATATGTTGCACAAAGATATGCAGAAATAGTTAGCATTTAGCATTTTGTAAATTGTTATTTAATATAGGTGCATATCAGTTAAATTGTTGAAAATTCTAGTGCTCCGCTGAGCTAAATGTCAAATTTTGACATTAATGCATTAATGCAGATAATATGCAGTGCATACGTCACCGTAAAGAAATATATAATATACATATAGGAACCTTGTCTGTCTAATTTCTTTTGAAATCTTTTTGTAAAAGCACATGATGCCCAAGAAACGAATGATTTTAACAAACCCATTAAATATAAACGATTTTACACTTGTCTAGCTTAATAACAATTCGACGCGACGACAATTGCGTTTCACAAAAACACAACCCTCTGTTGGTGGTTCAACGAAAAATTGCTCTTTTTAATGTAAACGTTTCTTAATAAATAGAATATTATATTCGTGTAAATTTGATACTAAGATTTACTGAACACGTTTAATAAAACAATATTATGATCGCCAGAGGCTCTCATAATATGCTTTTATTCAATACAGTCAATAAATTAAGTATTAAATCTACATTCAATCAGTATCCTTTATTTATCTCAGCAATCACATTCAACAAAATAAAGATATTACTACCGATTCATCAAGGTCTTTTTAAAGGAGTAAAAGTGTTTAATGTGGTTGGTTATACTTTATCGTTATAACAGCATGCCCAATTAATTGTCGTGTCCCTAAGCAATGTAATAAATGCATAAAGATACAATCAATGAAAGGAATGGACACTTGTTTTGTTTTAATGTCAGAGTTTATTTGATATGAATGCATATATATTTATGTGTAAAAACTTGTATTTTAATTTTTAACTTATGAGTTTCGGATATTATATATTCATGAAATAACGGCAATTTTTTTACATTGCAAATATGCTTTATCATATAAATCATTCCAAGAGTTATATTGATTACCGATTATAAGTATTTTAAACGATGATTAATTTATGAGTCATGTATTTATAGTTATTACCTCTTAATTGCAATAATATCAAACATTTGTAATAAGTTAAGTAAAGTCACATAATTTATTTATACTTATTTCTGATCTTAGAAGATCTCAACATAGAATTCAATACATGTCTGTAAATAGAAAAACTACATGCTTGGCTTATATCTACAGTTTAATAGTTAAATTAAAGATTAATACCAAAGCAGCAAAGGGTGGACTTTACTTTCAGTCAAGTGATTTAAATTAATTTTGATTTAAATACATGTTTAATGTTTTATTCTAAGCACGTAAGGAACATGACTGTTATTGATTGAATCATATGTTATTGATCTGACGTAGATTGTTAATCTAAACTTTTATAGACCAATTTGCATATAAGAAAAACTATGTCAATAACATTATCAACGTAAGACAATCCGGGTAATATAATGACTCTTACCATACAAAGAGTGACATTTTGAGTGCCATAAAGATACGTGACGTATGCAGTCTGATATTCACCATTGGTAGCATATAATAATAATAATAATAATAATAATAATAATAATAATAATAATAATAATAATAATAATAATAATAATAATGATAATAAATGGTTCATCATACAAAACGTTTGTTAATAGACTCTTTGAAAGCAATGACACATTGAGACCTCCTTATTGTGAGCTCACATTTTGGAAAACAAAATTAATTTCACGGCTTTATTATAATAAAATGACACATATGCAGGCATTCGTCTCTTAATAAGTCACAAGTGCGGGAACGGAAACGATGATAGATGTTTTAAAAAGTTGTCCTTTAAGTGTTAGAAAATGGGCAAGGTAGTGGGAATGTTCACTTACTAGTCCGAGTTCTGATTTATTATTTCATTTCTAAACTAAAATATATATTTGTTTTTTCCTATTTTTTTGGAAACGTTTATACCGGGATAAGGAATATAGTATTGCCTGACGTCGCAAATTTCTCAACAAATGTTTGAAAACAAATTTAAAAATGTGACAATACTATATGAAAAAGAATGAAAAATCGTTAAATATTTCAAAAGAAATAAATACGGTAGTTATACATATATGTAACGAAAATAATAAGTATATGAAATTTGGAAAAGATAACCATGAACAAAAAGAGATTCCTGGTGGTATTCAGGATGTTTTATACTACTTAAGAGCACCTGCTTGACCTTCTATAATTAAAATGTGAATACTGGTGACTAGTCTTTGTGAATGGAGATCCTTTTTCACAGGTTTTATTAACAGCATGTAAAACATGTCTTAGACAACATTGTTTGACCTGTAATACCCCAGCCAGCATGACCATATCGGGCCGATATAGGATTAATGTCGGCATGTCGGCAAAATATGCCGACTATTGGCCGACGTCGGGCCGCTGCAGTGCCGACATATTGAGTATTTTGAAAAATTCTAATTGCAATGCCATTGTTTACTTAACAATGTGAATAAATTGTCCTGTGTATGATTTCAATTACTAGAACAACATTAACCAAATTTCATGTTAGATCAAAAAAGATACATCGGGTCTGCGTCGGGCCTACATGACCTATCAATGCAAGTATTTTGTATATCGGATTGACATCGGTACGATATTGCGTTTTCTGTTGAATTGAAAATCATGCAGCAAATAATTCTACATTTTGATATGAATTTCTAAAATAATCATAGTTGAGTTTGGAAATGATATGTGGTTTGTTATTAAATTCAATATTTATGTTTTGACTACATAAAAATCACTCTTTAAACGAAAAGCTTGAAAATATTCACTGCAGTCCTACAATTAACAGATAAAGCGCCAAAAAGAAAAGCTAACAAAGGAAGGTGATGAAAAGCATGTTTTATTAATGTAATGTTGATTCAACAAATCTGTAAACGCTGTTAATAATTTGATTTTTACACTTAGAATTATTGGAAAAACACAATTTATCTGCTTGTCTCTTTTTTAGATGTAAAATTATGTTTGAAAATATTTGTCACATGATTTCGCGGCATGCATTATCATAGTTGTGATTGTCATTTGCACATTTAAGTTAAAATATATGTCTTTATTATCTAATTTTGTAAAATAATTATCTTTTATTTTGTATTTTTGCAGGTTGTGCCAAGTGCTTGCTGCTAGATGTCATCAACATGCTAGCATTAGGATGATACCTGGTCGATATAGGATTCAGTTGGCTGACATCGCACCGCTATTGTTTTGATGTAGGCCCGATGTCGGCAAGAAATATCGGGCCTATATCGTTAAGATGTCGGCCCGATATTGTTCTGCCGATGTCGGGCCAACATCATTCCTATTTGCAGCCGAGGTTAAAGCCGACATCGGGCCGTCATAGAAAACCATGTCGGTTTGATGTCGGGCCGATATAAAATGTTGGCTGGGACAAGGTTAAAAAAGATATAACGATAATGTACTCTACAACTTTGTAGTCAATTATCGTTTACTTAATGTGTGTCTGCTATGTATTTATGCATGTTCGTAAATAAATGCTGTTTCTTTCCATCAGTAATATGTTGAAGTACATAAAAGACCCGGGCCTTGATGAACGAAATAAATGCAAAAAAAAAGAGCATGAAATTGATGAATAGTTCTAAATGTATTGATAATGTTTAATACATATTGGTTTCACCAGTCAACTCATTTACATTTCGTGAAATTACATACCATATAATAATTTGTACATATAACATAATTATTAAATGACCCTTTTGGATAATAACGTCTTAAGATATAAACTGGTAAGCAAAACAAAACAAAACAATCAAACAAAAGTAGTGCAAACCTTGACGGTTTTGTATTCTGACTGCGCATGTGCGTAAAGGTAAGATATAAAATAGAGTTAAACTAGCCGAATGTTTAGAGTAAACAGTTTAGCCGTGCTGATAAAAGCGTGCAAGGATATTATATCATAATTATGTAGACGAACAAATGATGTTCATTTTCATTATGGATATACTTATTGTCAAACGTTGAGATCAATTTATATGTAGTTCAAAATGAGACAGCTAAAAGTCGCGTTAATTCTATTACTGTTTGAGATAACTCTGGGCACTAATTTTGTTACAGGTTTGTAACTACTATTCTATTTCGATTATATTTCATTAAAACTATTTTCTTGTTTCAAATATTTCAATTAATTATTGCTTTTAATCTTTCATTAAATCTATCATCTATCATATACATTAAAATTTAATCAAAAATGTCAGCTAAGGCGAATATTCAATTTAAAAATTTCTTTGAATAATTCTGACTGTGAATTTTAAGAAACAACAATAGCTCGTTTGCCGAAAACAATTCACTTAGTAACGTTCTTCTTCTTAAAAAATGATTTTCATCTCAGACGGAGAAGGGGATATTTTGAAGCATAAATGATATTGTTATTTTCAATGAAAAAAAAAATTACCATTAAAATGCAAAACTCATCTAACAAATTAAAAACATAAAATAAAATAACTTTTGCGTAAAAGAAAATGACAATTTCACAAGATGGAATAAATGTTGCACACCACGTTTTGCCTTTTTGTTCACAATAATTGCACTGTATTAATAAACACAATGACAAGTAGGATTAGATATTTCTTAACTTGCAATTATTTCAATTCATGCCTTCAACATCTGCCAACGTTCAGTGCTCTTTGATGTCTAGAACTCTTATGTTTAAAAGTAGACTAATTCTTACAGTGTCATTTCAGTATTTCTAAGATTGAAATGAACGATACTTTTATTTTATTACACTATTACGGAGGAAAAATAACTTGAGGCAATCATGGTGATTATTTTCCTTGCTGTATCATTGTGTTTGAAAATATAAGTAGACTATATTTTGTACAGTAGTTTAAACATGTATTTAAATGATAATTAAAAATTGTAATACAGGAGTAATTTTTTTAATTTCTTATTATTCTGGTTAGTTTTGAACACTCAGATACATCATTATGAATTAGTGATTTTAACAATAAAAGATATATATACAAAAAATATGATTTTGTATAAAATGTAATTCTTTTGAATGTTCTCATTTTATTCACTTTTGCAACATTGAAACATGATTTTGCGCCAGAAAAGTAAAATTATAAAAAATCAGTCATAATATTTGTATCAATTGGATAAAAATAGAATTTCGAGGCAATTAGATGTTTGAATAATGAATTCCGTGCATTTAGTTCAATAAGTCTGCAAATTATTATGCCGATACAAGCTTTCAAACGTGTAAATATAAAATACCATGCGTGTTTTCGAGATTATGGTTAAATAACATATTTTTATATACCTGGAATATTTTCAATGAAAGTATTCTCAGAAAAAGACAATTATTTTACAAACATAAACAAAATGAATTTTATCATCATTACGCAAAAATGGTATAACTTGTACCTTTAATCAAACCAAAGGATTTCCTGTTTGCGATAAGTAGATAACTAAAGACAAGAAGACTGTCCTTGATATATTATACACAAAGCTGTATAAACGTAATGTGTAAGGCACAAAAGTAAAGTATTTCTTATCATAGATTTTTGAAAATGCATTTCATAATTACAGTAATACTTTATTTTGAGACTTGATTTTAATTTCTATTTACAAAAGATGTTACCTTATTGATAATAATGCATTTTGTTGTCAGCTGGACACTTAAGTTATAGTGATAACTAGACTTCTTGTAAATATAGATGACGTCCTTGTAATATCTTTTCTTTTGAATAAATAAAAAAAACCTAGTTAAACTGTAAGCCACCAGTAGTCTAAAAATTATAGATAAGGACATGGCATATTTAAGCTGAGACATTCGCATGAATGAATAGCTATATATCTTATGTTATCAATGCAATACTGAATTACAACTGATACATAAATCTACATTATCTGCTGTTCATCATTCATATGCTATTAAGATAGTGAAAGTTTTTCAGGAAAACGCATTATGTAAGCAAGTTGCAAGTGCAGTAATGAAATATACAGTTCATTATAAATCGATTATTTCACTGAAGATAAAAAAGTAATCAAATAGCTGTTCAAGAGAATTTAGAAGGTTATATAACAATCAGAACTCTTCAATTTTTGAGATAAGAAATTCAATTCACCGATAAACATAATTTTCAATTATGACAAGTGTCGAAATGTTAGAAATTTATTATTTCTCAAGTTCTTCACTAAAAATGTGCAAAAATATTGTTTTATTGCTGATTAATGTGCTATATTGCTGCTATATTGCTGCTATCAGAACAAAATGTTCATAAACTGGGATTATCATTCGTGGGTACTTTGATATTGTATGACTAAATTATCTTGCAAATTTATCTTGCAAACTTTGTAACCATTTTAACTTGTTGTTTAAGTATATTGTTTCTCGAATACATTTGGTACCGATACATTATTTAATAGATCAATATGATATGACATTTGAGCCGCGTCACGACAAAACCAACATTATGGGTTTGCGACCAACATGGATCCATCTGCAAATTATTATGCCATAATTATTATTATCTACCATCCATGCTGGTCGCTTACCAACACTATAACAAGTAGAGAAATTGATAGCGAACAGCATGGATCCTGATCAGACTGCGTGGATGCGCAGGCTGGTCTGGATCCATGCTGATCGCAAACCCATTATTTTGGTTTTGTCGTGACGCGACTCATTTATTTTTGGTTAAGTAGAATTAAAGACAGACATACACAAATATTATAATTTATTCAACATAAATCATTACTATTAATTATTAATCGACCATTAATGATTATTATGAACTTTAAATATTACAATATATTGGGGGATTAATCATATATATCGTAAAAAACAATTAATTTTCAATTTATAATCTTTACAATCATCGTTGATCCTATTAATTATTATCGATTATTGAAACAATATGACATCGAAATAATACGCTAAGAAATAGATTACATGGCTGACTCGTGCAAAGGATATGCTGAATTATCTTTTCTAGTAGTAAAATCAGTTAAAAGATTCAATATAAATAATTGTATTAATATTTTAGACGTTTGATATATTATACGTGTGCGCAGCCGGTTTTAATCACTCATATTCAGTTGTGACTTTATACAAACACTCTATATAAGATAAAATTTAAACAGCATGTATTTGTTTACTACTTAATTTCATTGAAACTTGCACCTTAAAAAACTACATTTCCACACTGTCTTAAGAACAGTAATTGATTTGAATTGATAACCCTGGTATTGTGATCTCGACTAGCAAAATGATTACGGTTTCTTTTTCCAAATTGTCTTGAATGTATCATCGTGTCTAATCAAACGATTTTTCAAGTTACATTTTAATATAGCATATCTCTCAAAGTATAAATCGAATCTTATATTTATAATACTTTCTATATTAGCACTATTTTAATAATCGTTTAAACGAATGCAGCGTAATTTCTGACTGATTGTTTACATATGAGCGTCGTCTATGACAACTAAGCACATCATAGCTCGGTTTGCGCGAGCCCGACATGAATCCAAGACCATGCCTTCGGCATCCGGCCAACGTCTTGTTAGGATTCTGCCTGTTGTCGCTATAAAGTCTATAACAAGTAGCGACGTGATAGTAACACATGGTTGCCCTGATCAGACTGCGCAGGAAATAGCGCAGGCTATGAGAATCTGTATTACCATGCTGTCGCTTAAACATTGATCGTTGGTTTTGAGTGACGCGCTTCAAATATTTAATATTTGGAGTACTTGTATTAATTGTCATTTGACATTTAACGTGTATTAATGACAAGTTTGATATTATTGTATTTCATTCCAATAAATAAGACTTTGTCTAGACATTTAATATGTTATTACATATTATAGAATCTTCTACGAAGTTATTTGTTTTATCTGACATAAAGTCAAAATTCGTTTCACAACCAGACAGAGGTATCATTATTTTACATAACTCATGATATTATCAACCAGAAACTGTGATAAGAGATAGCTATTGAGAATTTAGAAAATGCAGTTTAAACGGCATCGTTTGCTCAGAAATATTATTATGATATATCTTTTTATTTAGTTTTGTTCAAAATATTGAAGGTCAAAATATTTCTTTTTCTAAGGCATTGACAATTACTAAAACTTTGCAAACATGATTTTATTTTACTAATCATCAAGAGAAAAATGTAAGATTTTTATCTTAAACAATTATAAAGAATCTGTTTAGGATAAGCTAATAACGAGAAGATATTTACAAAACTGTATAGATGTAATGTGTAAGGCACTATAGAAAATCATTAACTATTCATCAATTTTGAAAGGTTTACTTTCATAATAACAGAATTATTTAAGCCGCGTCATGACAAAACCAACAGTGCTTTTGCGACTAGCATGGATCCAGACCAGCCTGCGCATCCGCGCAGTCTGATCAGGATCCATGCTGTTCGCTTACAAACTCTATTACAAGTAGAGAAATTGATAGCGAACAACATGGATCCTGATCAGACTGCGCGGATGCGCAGGCTGGTCTGGATTCATGCTGGTCGCAAACCCATTATGTTGGTTTTGTCATGACGCGGCTCATTTTATTTTGAGTCTCGATCTAAATTTTAATTTACAAAAAGTTACCTTACTCGAAATGATGCATTTTGTTGTCAGCTAGACGCTAGGTCATTGTGATATCTAGCATTCTTGTAAATAGAAATAACATCCTTGAACTTTTCTTTAATCTGGATTTTAAAAAAGTAAACATCCTGGATAAACTGCAAGCCGTGATAAGCTCTATAAATTCAAGACAAGGACACGGCATGTTTTAGCTGAGACATATTGACATTTTGAAATTACCATTTGCATGATTGCTCCTCCTGCAGAATAGCTATATGTTTTATGTTTTTAATGCAATGCTGGGTTATATCTGGGGAAAACATCTACATTATCCCCTGTTGATCATTCATACGCTTTTGAAATACTCAAAGTTTTCAGCAAAACGCAAAATATCAGCAATTTGCAAGTGGATAAAATATACAGTTCTTTATATATCGATTATTTCACTGAAGATATATAAGTAATCAAAAAGCTGTTCAAGTAAATTTAAATGTTTATATATCAAACAGACCTCTTCAACTTTTTAGATAAGCAATTCAATTCACAGATAAACATCTTTTTCAATTATGACAAGTGTCGAACTGTTGAAAGTTTGTTATTTCTCACGTTCCTTACCTCACAGGCATGCCAAACATTGTTTTATTGCTGATTAATGCAATGTTTTCTGTTATCATCAGAATAAAATGTTTATAAAATTAGGTCTGAAACATGGTTAACTTTATCATCAATCCGAACTTTGGTATCATATGAGCCTTTATATTGCAAATTTTGTAACCATTTCTTTCTTGTAGTTAATATAACATAATGTCATATACACAGTCCATAACGGCAGTTTAGGCGTACTAAAGATATTTCATTTGTATGCTAAATGCAAACAAAAGCAATTAATGAAAGCAATAATAATTATTTTGTTAGATTTTGGCTGACTGTTGCACACTGGTCAGCAGAAAAGTAGTGCCGACCAAGAACAGACTCATTTTATTTATAGTTCATCAATTAAACTGTTTTATCAAATGTGAAACTTTGGCTCATTTTCGGGGATTTTATTACAATATTAATTTAGTATTTAATTTATCATAATATAGTCTTAATGGTTGATAAATGTTCGGACTACAGATTGTTATCAATTTCACTGTAATTTATATCTCTTTGCAATATATTTTGACATACAAAGGCATTATTTGATTTAATCTTAATCATATGAGGGGGCACTTAAGATTATTTTATTCAAGTTTCGTAAGACCAATGTTGACTTTTGATTACAACCTTGGCACTGTGTACCCGACTGGCTCGCTGATTTATATTTTCAATTTCCGTTTTTTTCTATTTTTCATAAATGTATCAGCATATTTTGACAGATTGGGTAACATTTTATGAGGGTCTTTAAAGTATCTGTAGTATTTACATTACTAGATAATTAGCCGCATTTACTCCTATTTAAATTTACAAGCGGTATAATTGATAATGGTATGTAAATATCTAATTTGAAAGAAAATGTGATGTTAAGGTCAGTTTGACAGTTACATTAAATCAGATTGTGTTGTTAATGATAATTTATATGTTTATGATTAATTGTATTTTATATCATTAAACTATCTATTATCTAGACGTGTAATATATAATATTTCATAAAATAAACTCCTTAATAATGATTTCGTTTTATTTTACAGTCAAAATGCGTTTCACAAACAGACAGAGTTATCATTATTTTACATAAATTATGATTTTATCAACCAGAAACTAAGATAATGAATAGCAATTGAGGACTTAGAAAGTGCACTTTAAGCGGCATCGTTTTGTCAGAAATATAATGATGATGTATTTTTTAATTAAGTTTTCTTCAAAATGTTAAAGTTCTAAATATTTTCTGTTTTAAGACATTGACAATTATTTTGCAAACATGATTTTACTTTAATTATCATCAACAAAAATGTAAGAGTTATATCTCAAACACTCCAAATTTTTTGTTTACGATTAGCTAATAACTTAAGAACTTAAGACGAGAAGATGTTTACAAAGCTGTATATACGCAATGTGTAAAGCACTAAAGAAAATTATTTTCTTTTCATCGATTTTTTAAAGGTTTACTTCAAATAACAAGTATTTCATTTTGAGACTCAATCTAAATTTTAATTTACAAAATATATTACCTTACTCGAAATAATGCATTTGTTGTCAGCTAGACGCTAGGTTGTTGTGCTAACTAGACTTGTTGTAAACGGAGATGACATCCTTGAACTTTCCTTTCATCCGGAATTAAAAATAAACATCCTGGATAAACTGCAAGCCGTCAGAAGCCCCAAGTACACGGCATGTTTTAGCTGAGACATATTGACATTTTGAAATTACCATATTCTGCAAAATAACTATATGTCTTATGTTATCAATGTAATACGGGATTTTATCTGGGGAAAATATCTACATGATCGCTGTTGATCATTCATATACTTTTGAAATAGTAAAAGTTTTTCTTGTCAGTAATTTGTAAGTGGAGAAATAAAATATACACTTCATTATAAATCGATCTATATTTATTGAAGATAAATTAGTCATCAAAAAGCTGTTCAAGTAAATTTAAATGTTTATATATCAAAACAGACCTCTTCAACTTTTTAGATAAGCAATTCAATTCACAGATAAACATCTTTTTCATTATGAACTGTTGAAAGTTTGTTATTTCTCACGTTCTCACGTTCCTTACCTCACAGGCATGTCAAATATTGTTTTATTGCTGATTAATGCAATATTTACTGTTATCATCAGAATAAAATGTTTATAAAATTAGGTCTGAAACATGGTTAACTTTATCATAAATCCGAACTTTGGTATCATATGAGCCTTTAAATTGCAAACTTTGTAACCATTTTTTTCTTGTAGTTAATATAACATAATGCCATATGCACATTCCTTAACGTCAGTTTAGGCGGATTAAAGATATTTCATTTGTATGCTAAAGCAATAGTACTTATTTTGTTAGATTTTGGCTGACTGGTGCACGCTGATCAGCAGAAAAGTAGTGCCGACCAAGGACAGACTCATTAAAACCAAAGATTTGGCTTTCATAGTTCATCAATTAAACTGTTTCAGTATCAGAAGGGAAACTTTGGCTCATTTTCGGGGATTTTATTACAACATCAATTTTGTATTTAATTTATCATAATATAGTCTTAACTGTTGATAAATGTTGTGTGTGACTACAGATTGTTATCAATTTCGCTGTAATTTATATCTCTTTGCAATATATTTTGACATACAGAGACATTATTTGATTTAGTCTTAATCATATGAATGAACACTTGAGATAACTTCATTCAAATTTCGTAAAATAAAAAGAGTGTACGGCCAATATTGACTTTGACCTTGGCATTGTGTACCCGACTAGCTCGCTGATTTATATTTTCAATTTCCGTTTTTTATTCATAATTGTATCATCGTTTTATGACAGATTGGGTTACATTTTATGAGGGTCTTTAAAGTATCTGTAGTATTTACATTACTAGGTAATTAGCCGCATTTACTCCTATTTACATTTACAAGCGGTATATTCAATAATGGTATATTAATATTTAATTTGTAGAAAATAGAATTTGTGTTAAGGTCAGTTCGACAGTTACATTAATCAGATTGTATGGGCATGATAATTTATATTTTTATTATTTATTGTATTCTTTACAAATAAACTATCTATTATCTAGACGTGAAGTATATTATTTCATGTAATAAACTCCTTAACAATGATTTCGTTTTATTTCACATACAGTCATAATTCGTTTCAAAACCAGACAGAGGTGTCATAATTTATCATATCTCATGATTTTAGCAACCAAACACTGTGATAATATTTAAAAAAAATTAAAGAGCTATGTTATTCAAAAGTAGTTTGTAGTGATTGTGCAAAAAAGTATTAGAATGTTTTTATCTCAGATATAATATAACGAATTTTTAACATTTCTCTCTTGCGCTTATGTTTTTTATTTAAAATGCAGGTGGTCATAAGCCTTTTTGTTTACTTTGTGGTAAGATTGGGCAATTTGAAGATGTTACTTCTGATAAGCTGGAATAGTTCAAAACATATCAGACAGATGTATATTCGTCTGCAAGAGATATGTAACTTTTTGTAAATTACGAACAAAGTGTACTTTAAATGTATGTAAGTACAAGCTATTTAGAAATATACTTCATAAATAACCATACGTTATTTTAGCATATCACCTGCATATACGTATTTTGATATAGGAAAGGAAGAGCTTTTGGACAAGCGTTTGTTGTACTATGAGCCATTACATTACGATATAGATGACCTTCATCTTTTACATACAAAAAGCGGCAAGTCAGGAGGTTTAATCCGGATTAAATTGAATGCGTTTAAAAGGTGTGTGCTTTGTACTAGTATGTTTATTTATTAAAATTTGAATGCTTAACTAAATTATTGACATAAATTTCTATAAATGACCATGTTCATAAATAGTTCATTATCAAATTGTTTTGAGGTAAATGTCAAATATGCAGTTATGACAATACATTTGGGTCTTTTTATGCGTGACATAAGCGGCAAGATATTTACATGCTTTAATGCAGCAACTCGGGATTGACAAAAATGAGAGTATTATTCATCGTTTTACGAGTATGCTTTAAAAAATGTACGTAATATGTCAAAACCTGCATCATTTGAGAACAGTGTTTTATGATTAACCCTTCTTTAATTGCTAAGACGACGCATGTCATATGAACTCATGATTGGTAGTTTGTGAGACAGCACTAGCATAGGCTGTTAGATGTGATATAAGGAATTATAATACATTATACTATTCTATCGTTTTGCATGATTAAACACAAAAAATATCCAAACGAAAACAATAAAGCAGTCTCAACTAAAGGCATTAATGCACGCAATATTCTTAACTTATATTATAACGTTTTTCAGGAGCTTCTCCCTTGAATTGAGAAGAAGTGTACAGTCAACATCAAACATTATTCTGCATCACAAAAAGAATACCACCACGCCAGATCTGTCATTTGTTTATACTGGAAAGGATACAGGTTGGTATCAGTGTACAATTAAAATGTTATCAACAGAAAGATGTATTCTGTGAATAAATTATATTGTATAGTTAAAAAAGCGGTTCCAATATTTGTGTGTATTTTAAAAAAAAATATTATCACCAACAAACAGTTGATAAATCAAACGTGTATGCAATGCTCAAAGACATAAACGCACGTTTTGCTGATAACACATGAAAAGGACGTCTGTATGTTTTCGCTTTGATGGAAAAAAACGCCCAATATGTGCATGAATGGTTGTTGACAATTTAACGTCTTGATTATATTAAATCTCTTGCTAATCAAGTAAAGGCAGGTATAATACTTTATTGGCAAAACACATAATATGTTCATCGCTATGTTACTTTAATACAATGCCTATTATCTTGTAAACATTTATTTGATGATTTCAGTAACACGTATCTTCAGTATGTCGACATAATAGACAATCCTTTTTTCAACTTTATTGACATTTTCAATGCCCCGAATGAAAATTGAGCAGATCTGTTATGCATGGTTAAAATGAAATTAAACTAAATTTCAAAACAAAAAATATCTGAAAACTTAAGGATAAACTTTGTAGGAAAATGTCTTTTGTAATTAAATATAGCCATCACGGTTTTATTTTCTTTTAAATAATCTTAATAACAGTCATTTTACAATAACATTTATATAGAAGTTTATACCGGATGACACTGGATGATATTTCACACCCAGAGTCGTGTATATGATCAAACTAAATTTATTAATTAGTGTAGCCAAATGCATTTTCAGGCTAATTTCATACAGTTTGATTCAAACATTAATTATAAAAAGTTTCACTTTTATTATAGGTAGTAAATAAATACGCATTTTTACTTGAAATCGCTATGGTAAGTTATTAATTAACGTCCGATACCATTGCTTACACTATCCTTTTATTTAACCGATAGGTAGCTGCTGTTGACAAAAAAGTGACCTCATACTTTTAACGATTAAAGTTTCAAGTTTGAAAACCCCCATTGATGCAAAGAATTTTTCATGCAGTTTAAATTCCAACATTGCATTTAATCTCTACAGAAAAATAGCTAGAGTTTTTGAAATCGTGTTAAACTTACAGCTCAAATGTCAGAAAAAGTTATCATTTTGATTTGTGGTAAATATACGCTTATCATAATGATATATTCAACCATGATCTACAATATAAAAATAGCAACACGCTCATATATCATTTTATGAAAAAATATGTATTGCAATGATAGGAAATAATCCCAAGAGTTACCAGACAGATTACAAACGAAGAAATGTTGCTTGAACTTGATAAATGAAAAAAAGACCCCCCCCATAAATTGCCTGTTTTAATGGCAATTTGACAGGTTATCACTCTGCTTATCGCATCTTATAATATGTGCTGTTAAAAATAAAATTAAAATAAAATTGCATGTGCATTTATCTGATGTTGAGAACCGATTATAATTTTTGGAATTCTTTTCACTTATTGTTTATATTAGGGGTAGGGTTTTATTTTTTGATATAATTGATGAATGCAATTTCATAGCAAATAAATTTCAAATCAAAGCAAAACATACAAGCTATTTATTCACCAATACAAAATATATTTATGTGTTTTCTGGAGTTCCTTATTTACGGTGTTGTTACATTATTATCCTTGAATAAACAAAATCAATCAAACAAGGCTTGTGATATTTTGATTTTAATTCCTTAACTTGACTGTACGATTAAATAATCTTTATTTTAAATCTACATTATCTGAGAATTATTCTTTGTATAGTTTCAATGAAAAACAATAGGTTTTGTCATATGTGTGCTTTGTTCATACTTTCAAAGTTTTTTTCATTTAATAACATCTCGTGTTTACAGATTATCCTGAGAGTGAAGCAAAAATAGCTGTGATCAATGGAACATTGCAAGGAAAACTAATTCATCCTAGAGAAACCATTTATCACATTGCTCCAAGTTCCTGGTTGTTCAAACAGCCAACACCATTTCATACAGTGATATACTCTGAAAAAGACTATGTATGGTAATAATTTTATAACCATTATAACAATTATTCACAAACGTCTTTTTGCTGTGTATCATATATACACCATTTACGAATACTCGTAATAAGAATTGTTCGATGGTCAGTAGAAGAATTGGACAAGCACGTTAACAAAATAAATGATATACAACTTCTCCCAGATCAGTGTAAATTATGTTTAAAAGACGAAGATACACATTGTATCCCTATTGAAATAACCCTTTTTATTTGGAATGGCAGGACGTCTCATACAGGTCTTTCTTAAATGTTATTTATTTATGAATTGATAGAATCATTTATAGACATTTATTCGGTCTATTCTAAACAGATCTGAATCAACTCTAAAGACTTGTATGATAAATAAATTTTATTTCAGCAAGTCTTTCTATCTGGAAAAAAATGTGATATTTGTATTTGCATTCCGTAAAAAAATGCACTTTCCGAGATTACCCCTTTGGAAAGAAACCCCAACTATTTTTGTCTTATTTTTCAGGAATCATACTTTCCATTCTGACACGGTACGGCATGCAGGGAGCAAGGCACAGGTTAATAACCATCTATATCTTTTTTAAGGCTTCAATGAGCATATTATCTTTTATTAATAATCTGCATATTAGATGACATAAACATTTACAAGATTCGTTCTTTCACCACCAGCATTAGCTAAATTGGGTTATCATTAAAACTACTTATACTGTAAAAAATATCCGCTATTATGTTGATCTTTAGATTTTTTTAAAACAAAACGTTTCGTCTCTATTACTATTAAACCTTGTTCACCATATATAATTACGACGATTATTTTTTTTAAGTTAAAGAATAAAAAACCTTTAGGCAGACGGAAAAGAGATTTACTCCCTCCATCTAATGGACAAGATCATCACGTATGCACGGTTAAATTAACAACTGATACAACTGTGTGGAGATACTTCATGAATTTGAATAAGGTAAATTTGTTTTTTTGGACATTTGTTATTACTGTTTTATGTTGTATGTTCCCATATTAAAAATGTTTTACTAGAAATATGTTTGTATTTCATAAAACTTATGGTTTCTAAGGTATTATGCTGTAATATTTCCAGAGGCAATTTGTAGAGGACGAAAATGACAAATATAAGTTGTATCGGATGAGAAGTCATATTCGTTGATTATGAAAACTCATACTTAATTTTACTAAATAGCATTATTCTTATTTTTCGACTTCTCCATATACGAACGATTCTTTTATTTTACCCTTGGATGGACTCTTACTAATACATGAAGTTTCTATTCCGATAGAATAAATGAATGTGTAAAATTATGAAAAATATTAATTGTTCATTATTTGACAACATGGTCTTATTTTACATGTACTTTTTATTTTACAGAACGAGGATAAAAGCCACTATGATATTTTGTTCATGTTGGAGAATCACGTGTCTGAAGCAAATAAAGTCTTCAGAAATACAGAATTTACCTTGAATAAAGGTCAAGATACAGAGGAAAGATTGAAAGGAATTCAGTTTGAAATTAGAAAGATAAAGGTAAATCATATCAAAATTATTTTCATTAAATTTCATTCAATTAACATAAATATACATCTTTTAGAAGTAATATTAGTAATATTACAGATAAATAATTTTACAAATATTTTAATATAATGTCTATTCCAGCAGTTTTTGTGTAATGCTATAATATAACATAATTGTATTAAGTAATGTAATAATAAAGCATAAGTATATTACATAAATTCAATTAGAAAATTAAAGCTCTTTAATCACCGACTTTGCTATTCCTGCCATGTTGTAGCGACAATTGAAATGGTAATAAGTATTGTTAACCCAGATATTAAATTAAATGGACCATATAAGAATATATTAAGTCTATTTTCCCACCTATTAATTGTGAACAGATTATGACAGATATGGACTGCGAGGATAATAACACATCTGTTTTATGCCGTGACGACCTAAAAGGACAAGTGCTGCTCAACAAGTTTGCTGATGAAGAAGAAGAAGAAAGTCTATCTGATTACGATTATTACTATAATCATGATTTACACGATGCTGATTACCAAGGAGGTAGGTGTGCTATGCAGGAAATCGGTGATCTTGTGGTTCTTAGTCATGGAATTGTGGGTTCTGTCCTCTGGGACTACGGCAATGTAGCCTCATATGGCACCTGTACTCGTAGCTTCGAGAAAATTGATTCGAGACTGGTCCAAAATAACCGACAAGCCTTTTCAACGTCACGGTAAAATTAGATGAAGTTTAAAGGAATCATAGTAAATTCTGCTTTATTGACAAATTCAGTATATTTATGAACATTTATTCTTTTTATCTTGACAGCTTTGGAAATGTTTTGTCAAGTTTGCAAATCTGTAACACCTAAGCGTATTGCTGAAGTTTTGTTCACTTTATAACGATATTTTCCTTCTTTTTTAGCAGATGCTGAATACAAAGTCTACGAATATCCAACAACTGAATCAAAGTATTGTTTGTCTTTCCTTATCACAGCTAGAGTCTTGTATATCAACGAAAGTCCGCTTCTTGGTTTAGCTTTCCATGCATCAAAAGGTACGAACCCTATTTTGACAACAGAGACTGTTTGAACGTCAAGTAGTCTTTTCTTGTAACACGAGATCAGAAATTAATAGTGAAAGTCTATTCATGAGTTATATTTTTTTTATGGAATTCACCGAAAACGGGTGTTTCGACATAACTTAATTGAATGTTCACACGTTCTCTTAAATCGATTTTGTTTTGTTTCCCGAATAATTATATGGTCTCAATGTCTACAGCTGATATAATTGCACCATCAATATTATTTACAGACAAAGATGGGGGAATATGTTCAAACCAAAACAATGGATTCATCACATTATTTCAAGAAACTACACAAGCATTACCAGCAATGGTTACACAGTTGGTGTTTACACACGAAGTTGCGCATGCATTTGGCGCACTAGTAAGTAACAGGTCTTAAAAATAATAGTTGACATTATTGTGAAATATCTTACTTAGGATTTCTGTGATAAAAATTAAGTAAACGCTACACAAGGCAATTTTTCGAAATTTTTACTTAACTGAAGGCGACACCTATATACATCACAATACGATTCATAGAATACAAATTGTCTGCAATATGCCTGTATCAATGCATTCATTATAACAAATATATTTAATTGAGCGTAGTGTATATAAATGCCTTTTTTCTTTTAAGCACGACAGTATGCAAGAATGTGCAGACTTTAATCTGGAAGAGGAACCAGCTGATGGATTTTACTTGATGCATAATGTCGCACAACGCGGGGACAAACCAAACCACCATAAACTATCACCTTGTAGTCTAAAATATATTTCTAAAGCTCTTTCAATGGACAAATCAACAACTTGTTTCACTGGTATGGATTGAATTATTCTTCATGTAGAGAAATTAGAAAAGGTCCTTTAAATGTCAGCTATTTAGCGTTACCTATTCCGATAGGTGGAGCAGATAACAGATGCAAATATTACGTTTATCCTATATAGTTATAGGTAAATAGTTATCGATTTGATACTTAAACAATATATTTCTTCAGATAGTGAGGTGTAAGTCTTCAGACATATATTTCAACAAGAAAAGAAATAGGTTACTAATTTAATACAATGTAATCAGTATTACATTTTATCAGGTAGTTAGTAACTAATCTTAAACTCTGACATGTAGTTCATCAGTGAGTTACCATTACAATATTTAGCCATATAATTAATTCACCAGGTAGTGAGTTACCATATTGTGGTAATGGTATAGTTGATGACGGGGAGGAGTGTGACTGTGGTAACGACTGTTACACTGGTAAAGATGATTGCTGTCATCCCCATAATGCAACTGAGGGTTTAAGATGTATGCTTAAAGCTGCGGCACAATGCAGGTATTTCATAAAGTATTGCTTATTGCTTTAAAAGGTTTAATGTAGGATTTATGATAAATTGGCAATGATAGTCAATTAAAAAAAATCAAAATAAGATCACAACTAAATTTATTAAATTAATGTGATAACCCTATTAAAATGGACTGATAATGCTCTTTTAACAATTTATTGAATCTTGCAATGCATTACAGACATTTTATTTTCATGACATATTAGTAAAATGCTTTAAAATTCATTTCATTTACGTATGTATGTCATGTATTTTTATTTAAATTTTATTTAGTAAATACTTTTATGGTTTACTTATACATGTTTTACGCATTTAAAAAGACACACCGACTTATGCAATGTGATCATATGAGCCCACATTTAAAACTGCTATACTTTAAATAATTTGTGAATTTAATAAACAAAACTACATTATTTTGTATTTTCAGTCCAAGTCAAGGACCATGTTGCGACAGCAGTACTTGTCAGTTTATAAATAAATCAGAGAATTTTGTGTGTCAGAACTCTAAACCATGTGTCGACGAATTATACTGCCAATATCCTTTTTTTATATAAGTGTGTACAATATCTAGATGCTTCTTAAACACATTTGGAAATTATAAATATCAACATCATATTACCCTAATGAGACATGATTTTTATTATGACCAAAACTGCTGATCATTGGATAAACCATACACTAAATAAAAATTAAAGCAAGTATTTCATTATTATTTTTATAATTTACATAAACGGCTTCTCGAAACAGGCTCATTTATTCCGTTTCACTTTTGTATAGCCGGGGTCTACACGTTTCACCTTGACAACTTTCTTAAATTAAAATAAATTCTTATATAATATTCAAGTTCCTTAACTTTTTCGTACTGGAGAGCTGTACGGCTCTAAGTGTCCAGCCCCACTTGAACATCAACAGCGAGAAGATGGTTTTATATGCAGCCGAAATGGACGTGTTTGTGACGCAGGGGTAAATCTACTATATACCCTAATGATAAATCATAATTGATACTTTTGGATCATTTATGTCCATGTGAATATTTTTTACGAGAGTCCGATATGATTATTTGACGAAAGAATTATTTAGATCACATTCTCATGTTGCATGATTGTATATTTCCAATGAAATATTACATCATAATAAACAGTTATTACTTAGTAATTACGTGTTAAGAAGTTGTACTGCAATCAAACCGAGTCTGCAATTTTCATGTAATTTTGTTGTGATCAATGCTTCCGAGGGATCACTATGTTTCCAGACTTTTTTTACTTTTGCTCGTAGAACTGTCATCAATTATTCAACTTCAAATTATTTGCCACATAATTAAAATCTAAATGTGCTTAATATCACATGATTAGGTTATATATGACTTCTTTCTTTAAATAAGATGACTGCATCGAAGATGTAGTTATCCATCTCATACATGTCAAAAGAAAAACACATCTTTTTTATTTACACATTTTTTTATTTATTTGTAGAGCTGTAATGCGTCGATATGTAAACTTATACATTGGCGAGAATGTTTGATTTCTAATGATAATGAAAACCTAACTGTTAAACAGAAAGAGGAGCTGTGTTACATTGGTTGTCGTAAGTTAATCTGTGACAGACTTTTTTTGCAATTTTGCAACTTGATCAGTAATTATAAAGACTGACTTTCAATCTAAGTCAGTCCTTACTGATAGTAAGGTTTATATAGGATACATGATATTATCGAAAACGGTTTGTGTTAACAAATTTCCTACTGATTATCAAAAATGGTTAAAATATTCTTTTAAAATTAACTGATAATTTAGGAGGAAAATACTTCGATATAACATAAATTTAGTGCAATGTATTTCGCATGTTGATTTACAAGTTTTAATAAATTGTTTTCTTTTTAAATGTATGTCTTTAAAATATGTGACAAGTTTCTTAAGACTATTTTCAACATTACAGGGAGACGGCGGTCTGATGAGTGTATCAGTTCACATGATATAGGCAAGGTAAAACAACATCCAGTGTTCTTGACCTTGTTATCAAACATTTCAAATGGATCAACAATGCTTCCTATACAGCTTCCAACAGGTGAGTAATATTTCTTATATTTACTCGTACATTACAAGTTTAAATAGTAAAATGATAATGAAGGTACGTTTTTTATGACATTGTCCTCCTGATTCGGCTTTTGTGCCATATTATGCATTTTGGTATGTGCTTTGCTGCATCTCGTTTCGGTGGTCTTGCGTGGTTGGTTTTTGTCTGGTACTGCGTTCTGTGAGCGTCCCTCTACCTTGTTGACCTTTGTTCTCATATTTTATCTGTTTTCAGTAAATAACCGTAGCGATCTATGAATAACATTGAGTTATTTGAGACATCCACAATGTTAAAAATAGAAAGTTTTTTTTACAGGCACACCTTGTAACAAGGAAACTGGCTATTGCGACGTACACAAACGGTGTCAAGTTGCTGGACCTGATACACCATTACCTAGAATGAAACATTGCCATCCTGGTACTAAATGTGAAGGGAACATTGTATCTATTTTACGGGTGAGTATGGCAACTACTTACCGGTGGTAACATTTTATGCTCACTCATTTAATGTTAAAAATAAATAGCAAGTGAACATCTCTGAAAGTATGAAAATAAGTTCTGTCTGCTATTTGACAACTGTCTGCGGTATGCAGATTCTTATTTTCTGAACTACTTCACTACTTTCAAAATTATATTTTATTTAGTTCAGCCTACATTCAAAGCAAACGCATATTTTTACTAAAGGACGAAACGCCACTGAAGGATATATTAACAACACCGTATGCATAAATCTGCAGATGATTTCTAAAGTCAAAAATCATCTCAAATTGTTGAGTTCCGTTTAAGTCGGAGGTAAAGGGCGATGGCATTAGCACGTACTTATCTTTATCCATATACACATGAGCAATAAATACGAGGCAGTATTTTTAGTTTTTCCGTTTCAGGTGATCTTAACGGTTTCTAGTTTACAATATTTGTTGTTCATAATGTATGCGTATTGATTTGTGGATAGTAGATGGGAGAATAAAAAAAATCAGATACAAATTTAACATGTTTATACCTCACCTTTGAAAGTTAAATTGTGATTTTTTGTCTTTTCAGCATTACTGGTGGGCTATCTTGCTAGCAGGTGTTGTATGTATATATCTGTTCTGCAAGCTATTCAAGGGTTTTTCAGTTCATACAAAAAGTAGCAATCGGCAAAAAGAATGCCAACGAAATCCCCGTAAAGAAGCACAACGGTTGGAGGATCAAGATGTCGAATATACTAAGAAAAGATTATTATCTACAGTTAAAACTGTTAGAGCATTTTTGAAGCAGACGTACACTAGACCTTATAACGGTAATTCTGAATTACAATCCGTTCGCGAAGAATTAGAAGCGTTAAACAACAATCCGTGAAGTGATGCCGAATCAGTTGAACTGTACTCCATATAGAGACCAATATATTTTTAAAATTCTGATCGGAGATTGGCCCAAGACAAATCTAACCTTATATGGTGAATATATTCGGTGCTCATCTGGATGCCTTTCCAATGGTTTGGTGAACGTTTCTTTCCCTTGTGGAGTTTAGAAAAAACATGAAATACACTCGCTCTATTATATATATTTCTCAATCTTCAAGTAATTTGTTTAATGAAGGACATCATCAGTAACGTATCTTAAAAGATATAAAATGGCAGTTATTCAAACGATATAGTATCTATATTCAAAAAACATACATACGGTAATGAATTGTGCTTAAATACAAGTGTAAACATATTTCATAATTGATTTTATATAATAATTGAAAAAAAGCACATATTATGAAGTGCTTTTATGCTCGGAACCCTTTTTTGAAACGAACAAATAAATTTTCCACAACCGACAGATATCGTGAAATCAGTCCTACTGGTTTATGACAGTGTTACTTCATATGACATCAGATCAGACGGAAGTTCAAATAAGCGATACATCTACCTTACAAAAAGCGAACATAAATGGTTTAACCAAATAGTATTGACAATTTTGTGTTAGAATGTACTGTGTATGAATGGTATGAAAATCCAAGATTAAAGTGTTGCCATTATACATTATATGATGAAAAGATGCATTTTGTATTTTTAGTCAGCTTCTTTGAATTACTAAACACTTTGTTTCATTTTGAGAGTTTTCAATATAACTTTGTTTTCAACGAATTACCTCAGTATTGTGTAATATTTTTATATTGTATTCATTGACGAGTGCATTTATTGTGCAACCATACAGTCCCATATTTTTGTAACTATATTGAAAGAATTCATACTATGTAATAATTAATATGATAGTATTTACTTAAGTCATAACACAAGTTAAGTTTAAAGTGCATAAATGTCTTTTAAAGTCTAATCATCAATATGCAGTATTTACCTCTACTGCGTTCAAAGTGTTTTAATTATTGCATCAGGGATTTTTAAAAGATTAAGAATTAAAGTCACAATTGTCATAACATTTGAAACTGCAATACTGTATGAGTGGTTGAGTTAGCGACGCGGAAATATTGGCAAATTTCGCGAATTGACGATAATCGCTAAAATTTCCTCTAGGGTAAATATCAACCAACCTGTCATTTAATTCTACTCTTGCACGATTCGCTAAGATTTCCTTACTCGAAATGTCTGGAATTTTAAATTCGCTACATACCACTAATACAGTATTGTTCCTCGGTTTCTTAGACACCTTTTAATAAACCTATCATTTCTTATCAATCAATATACGTAAGTGAGAACAATAAATCATCTATGCATGTTATGAACTTAAAAGATAGTAAAACAAAACAATTTTCTTACAATATGTGTATTAGAAAATCACCAAACTGTGTAATAAAGGCATTATATTGTTCATCTTTAAAATTGATTGTCCGAATATTAATGTAAGACACAACAAATACTAGACTTGAAGTTTGATCAATAATTGATTTGTGTATAATATACACATGTTCATATTTTGATATATATTTTTGCCAGCCTCACGCCAGACTATCCAAACTGGCAAGAGTGACTTAACTAACGTAATGACATTACGTTACGGTAGATTATACAATCTAAATGCTAGGAGGTGGGTATAAAAACAAAGACTCATTTCTTAATATATTAATTATGAAAAGATCTCATTGAAGAAGCTCGTTCGTACCTCATGTGATTCTTGTCCAGATCATACACAAGAAACAGACAAAGATAATTTTATAAGTATATGGTAACAAATGCAAGACATTAAGGTGCTCATTTTATTTCTGTACTTTTAATATGTTATCACTTATTTTGTGTTTTTGTGTAGTTATTCATATACTTAAAAACAGGTTATTTTCAACGATTTTTCTTTTTAAAAAACCCAGTTTTTTTCCAACGATTTTTCTTAAGATTGAGTACTCGCACATTTAAATATAACATTCTTCCTAATATTTCAATTTTTTCAATTGTAATATTTATTGTTTTATCATCGACAAATGTTCCATTTGTGTTCAATTAGAAATTGATCAACACATCTTAAAATTTAATACGATTGTTAAACTGTGTACAAATTATGCATTTTTATTTTATTTTAATAAAATGTTAAACGTTCAATATTATCTTTTCTTTGGGAACCATACGTTGTATTTTATGGAATGACAATCGTCATCGCCTATAACACATGTAGGTGAATTCATTTATATATTTTAATGATAATCTTAGAAATATATAAATGTAAAATTATGCGCAGAACAGGTGTTTGTCGACCATTAAAATACTAAATTACACCGCATCCAAACATTTCAGAATGCATTTATAAGATACGAATAAGAGGACATGCACAACTAGTTTATCTAATATTTGTTTGAAACGCATTCTTTTAGTTTCTACTTGGCACTAACAAGTATACAATGGAAACTCGTGGGAATGAAAATAAAATGAAACAAAATCACTTGTAGATAGTGGAAACAGGTTACTTCATTATTAATTGGAATGTTTGAATTTTTAAGAAACTTGGAAACAGCCTTCAACTTAACTCATGCGAATCGTTTAACATGCAAATAAATCAAACGTCAGATTTTTAACCTTGATAACCCAAATTGAAACATAGTCAGGAATTTGACAACTCTCATGCAGAACTTTATTCAACGATACGCTATTTATATCGTAGTACCTATGTTTGAAAACTTGCATGCTTCCACATGAGCCAAAATGTTTCAAGAAAAACAAGACTGAAAACAAAGATCTAATGTTATTAGGACAGTAAGTATAGTCGCTATATAAGAAATAATTTATATGTTACACTTCCACTGTGTGACTAATGTAGTAAGGGATTTTTTTTGCATATTCAGACATTTTTCTGTTTCTGTGTAGTGTCCGTACATTTCAAGTGCCGTTTGTAATGTGTAACTTATTTGCTCTGTTCACTTGACAATATTTTTCTTTGAAAATTTTAAACGCTTTTATGATAATAAGCATAAATTTAGGGACATACTGCTTCAAGAAATATTTACCTTAAAAAGGGGACGGTATACTTTGCAGACGACTTTGCAGACAAGTTAAACATAGAGGGATTTTGCAGACAAGTTAAATAAAGAAGGATTTTAGATTTTGCAGACAATATAGATTATATAGGGTGTGTCTATATTGTCTGCAAAATCTAAAATCCTTCTTTATTTAACTTGTCTGCAAAATCCCTCTATGTTTAACTTGTCTGCAAAGTTGTCCGCAAAGTATACCGACCCCTTAAAAAGCAATGTTTTTAAATCATTTTATAGTTAAACTACTTCTTTAGATGTTGTAATATGTTTTATAAATTAGAATTGTGTTTTGGTGACAATGTCTCATTCCAAAAATAAAAATAAAACTGTTTCGTCGCCTGCCATTTTTTTCTACAACGAAATGATTTCTTATGTTTGTCAGATAATAAAACACAAACCAAATATAAAATCAAAACTGTTTTATGAGAAGGTTCATAATTAGAGCATGGTTTGTTTGTGTTCTAATGTTAATTCAAAGGCTTGAGAAATATTTTTGATTGATCACCACCAACAAGTATTGGAATAATAATCTCGAACGACCTGGAAAAACCCATCAGTGATGGAGAACAGGACAGCTTTAAAAAAGCGCCCATCAATCAAATTATTTTTAATTATCTGAGACATGTTAAAATCAAAGGCTGTGCGTAAACAGAATGAAAATCTTGACATACATGTAGTAATAATAATCGAGATCAGTCTGTATTTGTACTTTGACACACATTTGAAATGTATAAATTTGTGCTATGCAATACGGATAATTAATGAGACTTTGTGAACTGAAATAGTTTTATCTCTTAAAGATTTGTATCAGGGCAAAACACTTGCTACATAATCTGTTCGTGGAATGTAAGCAACGTGTGTGAACTGAATATATACTGTTATAATGCTATGTGATTAAGAATCGAGAATTTATACGTACAGGTTTGCCAAAATGTAGAGAAAGAAATTTGATGACATTTTCCAATTCAATTTATTAAATTTAAATTAATTGATATTTCTAGTTTTCGTGCATAGATAGAGAATATTGACCGAGTGTAAATTCAATACTGAATTTATTGAACGAGTTGAATAAAGTTAAATTATTCGAGCCTCTGGCGAGCATGATAAAAATTTATTCAACGAGTTCAATAAATTTAGTAGTGAAATTACACGAATATAATATTCTGTTTATCACATATCCAAAATAAAGATTGTTTAGAGTGAAAAAAAATCATCTTTCAATGACGCGCTTATAGTGCAACGCTAACATTTAGCGCGTCTTTACTCTTTTTTTGTATAACGCAAATAACGTCACGTCAAAATATATGCACGGCCGTGAAATACCGTTTTTACGGAGTCGCAATATCGGCACGGGTGTGTGATAAAACATTATCATTTTTTTTTGTATTATAGATACATGTATTTTCTACTGCCTTATAATAAAATATTATAATATGTGAAATAATAAATGAACAGTTGATTTAATGGCAAAAAATTGTATTGCTTATCATTCTTCTTATCATTTTACCTCGACAAACATAGGCTTTACTAACATATTCGGATTTAAAGAAACGTACGAGGTAGTCAAAGTAGAATATCTTAAAAACCTAATTGTTCTAAACTCTCATTAAAGTTATCCATGTCTTCTCTCCCAGACATGTTCGATTAAGACATTCAAAAGGTTTAGGCAAAGCATATTGTACCTTTATCATAATCTCGATATCCCTAATCTGATCCCATTTTAGAAAATTATTACCCGCGTCTCATTCAACCGCTCGTCTCCATATTTGATTACGAAACATATAAAAGGATTATCGCAGCTGTGAACAACACAAATTTTAATCTTACATTCTGCGATAAAGGCGTTCTCCACAAGCTGTACACGCACGTATCAAAACTTTGGTATCTGTATGTTTTCATTGCTTAATCAAGCCTACGCGTTCCCCTTGGCCAACTGAAGAGTGATTCAAAGGAATAAATAAGTTAAAATTACATCATAACTTACTATATTTGTTAAACAGATTTGCTCTGATTTTCTAAAATCTTGAACAGTTTATTGATATTTTAAAGGACTTCGGTATCAAAATGCACTCCTTGAGAATGAGATTATGAAACAGTATGAAGACTAGCTCTATACAACGTTGCCAAGGCTTTTTTTTCTTATAGATCCTGAAAATGTTTGGACTGAAATAGAAATACAATAAAAATATGAATATTTTTCATAAGTTATAAACATGACTTGTGCTGATAAGATGTCTGGAACTGGAACAAAATATACATTTCTGGTATCGTTTATAGCATGTAGGGCAATTTGTCAAATCCATGACAGAAGAGATAAAAGATTTGACGTATGATTAATTTTTATGCTAAAAGATGTGCAGGGGTAAGTTCAAGGCTGATTTCCAATTTTCTAAAAGTTCCATCAATTCAAGTAGTGTAGATATAATCTATATTAGATTATATACACTATTTATTTGCTGTCCCCGTTTTATGCCAACGGCCGGCAAGCTGCATGCATTTTAAACTACGTTTTAAAGTGAGGATAAGAAATTTAAAGATATAATTAAGTTTCAGTTTGAAATTTGAAAAACAAAGATAATTCAAACTCTACTCAATACAGTGCATAAAAATCCTGGCAGTCTTTTTAAGAAAAGACAAATTTAAGATGATCTACAATAGGAAATGCAGCTTTGTAGTTTGTGCATTCCCTTCTACATATTTTTCAAGAACGTTCTGCAATAAAAGTTTTTTTTTTCAAAAAAATAAAAAAAAAAAAAAAAAAAAATAGAAACTTAGCATTTCTTTATCTGCAGTAGTAGATGGTACTTGTCATAAGATTCCAGATTGTTGCAAATGAAGTTAATTTCTGTTAAATTGCAGATTAATTGATTATTGTATCACTGTTAACAAGGCTTTGTCGGTATTTTGACAGTTTAGTCTTACACGTATAATAAAAAATATGAAATCAAATTTAAAGATAACATATTCTTAAAATTAAATACTTACTGTGCTGGTTGTTAAGCCTTTTCGAAACTAACCATCCCGTCATGTTTGACGTTTAGTACAAATGAGCCGGGTCATTCATGACAAAACCAGCATAGTGCATTTGCGACCAGCATGGATCCAGACCAGCCTGCGCATCCGCGCAGTCTAATCAGGATCCATGCTGTTCGCTTACATACTCTACAACAAGTAGAGAAACTGATAGCGAACAGCATGGATCCTGATCAGACTGCGCGGATGCGCAGGCTGGTCTGGATCCATGCTGGTCGCAAACGCACTATGTTGGTTTTGTCATGACTCGGCTCAAATATTTATCAACTTAGGGCCAAGAATTGTTTTCTTATTTACTGAAATATGATGCATCTTATCAAGAATCCTTCCACATAAACAAAATAAGTGACTTTATTTCATTCATTTCATTTGTGTTTGTTTTTGTTATTCTTGCATTTAAGAAGAAATGACTGCATATACGTATATTGGTAGTTCATGAATTAACATTTAAATAGTTACAACCGGCACTTAATATAACTTTTTGAATAAATTATACTATAAATTTTAAAGCTTAATATATGCAATTACAGAGATAATCATTTGCTATGAATTAACATTTAGAGAATCCGAATGATTTCAGACATGCGTGAGTTAACAATTCAGATGTTTTAACACTTCAATGAAAAAATATTTATATAGATGCTGACATAAAAGCAATAACAAGTGCTCTTTCTTTTGAGTCATATTATCTGCATGCATTCATTACACTGCCGAGGGGAAAAGAGAATTAATGGGGCATAATGATGAAAAGATAAAGAATAACCACAATAAACAATTGTATTGTTTCAACATATCTTAATGAAGAAGTGTTGATATTTAGAACATCTTTATTTATTTATAAGTTTAGTAAGATTCTTTAATCGTATCAAAATTGTTAATTATTTTACAAGATATTCAACAAATGTCTCATTTCATAACTTTTAAATGTTAAGGCTATCATAGAAATAAAAGCAAAACGGAGTGCACTTTTAAGTTTTGTGCTTGTTAACCTTTTTTTACACCGCCTTACAGTATACGCAACAGTTTATTCTTGTACTGTAG